CTGTAAGAATCAATGAGGTGGCTACAGGATTAACTTTAAACTGTGCTATGATTTTCTCCATTACTTTCTTAAGTCTAGATAAAGAACAAAACAATGAGGTGGCAAAATACATAAGGAGTGATGGGATCTGAATGTCCCCTTTTCTTTGCTACTCTTGAACTAACTGTAGGTCATAGATGAGTGCTCAAACTGAGACCGCAGCAACCGGCTCTACGCCGACATGGGCGGCCACTTTTATTCCTTACATCAATGTGCTTTCAAATGAACAAAGTGAAAAAAAAAGTACACGATATATTATGAGTTCTCAGGGTCAAATCCATGAAAGCCTCTTCCTTTTGTTCATTTTCTTCAGTGTTGGGGACAGAGGACAGAGCCTTCCTTGTACACCCCAGGTTCCACTCTACAGCTGAGAAACACCCCAGCCCTATTGTCTTCACATGGTGGGAAGGCAGACATTGGATCACAGGGGAGACTGGAGGGGGACAGTCTGAGCTGTCTGGGCACAGAAGCGGCCCACTAAGGTCTGGAAACAGAACATCGGAGTGGTAAGTTGCAAGAGACAGAACTAGGACCTAAACACAGGTTTATAATAAAGGCTCAAACCAAGCTTTATTCTAAAACTCCCCCTCCCTTGCTCGTGTGTGTGTGTGTGTGTGTGTGTGTGTGTTGTATACATGTTGTATCTATGCAGTCATCCATTGTAGCCCTGAGGTTGGCAATGAGATACCATCCTCAATCCTCCACCTTGCTTTTTGAAACAATGCCTCTCATTGAAACCAGAGTGTAATGATTTAGTTGGACTGGCTAGCCAATAAGCTCTTAGGATTTGCCTGTCTCTATCCTAGGCCCAACACAGCTGTTTCAGCATGCACAGCCGTACCCGTCTCTGCATATGGGAGTTGGGAATCTGAACCCAGGTTATCATGTTTGAGTAGCAGGTGCTGATCTATCGTCCCAGCACAAACGTTTTTAATTTCAACATCCAGGGCTGGAGAAATAGCTCAGTGGCTAAAAGTAATGATTTTTCCAGAAGACTCAAGCTTGATTCCAAGAACTGACATCAGGCTGCTTACATTAAAACTCCAGCTCCAAGGGATCAAACACCTTTGGCCTCTGTAGGAACCTGCAGTCATGCACGAGCATGCACACATGTGCATGCACACACACACACACAATTAAAAATCACAAAAATAAATGTTTAAAAAATAATTCCAACATCCTATCATGATGGCCTACTATAGACTAATTTGGTGTACTAAAAACGGAGGCTGATAACTCAGCTAGAATCATCCGCACGGTATTATCAAAGAAAATTGTACAAAATTGATTACCCCAGTGGACAATCCTTTTCTTCACCCTTTCCCTGTAGAGAGGCTTCCACATCAAAAGAAAAAGGCATTCCACCCTCTCCTAGGACCCTAAAATGTTACAGCTGTGTTCTCAAGAGGCAAACGCCTCCCAGAGTCCCTCTTCACAAGCTGCACCGCAAGTGGCAGCCACAGCAAGCTGCTTCTCAAGGGCGTCCAGCTCTCGGCACAGTGCTGTGTAACTTCCCACCGTTTCTAATTTCCTAAAGAAATGCATTTTGAAAAGAGGCACACAGGTGAGCAGCTGAAGGAAGCTGGTTAAGCATCAGAACTTTCCAGGTGCCACTCAGAAATTTTGTGGGTCTGGCCTCTATAAAAGTAATCTGGGTGTCACTGAAAGCCTCCTGGACTGGGAGGAGTCACAAGGGGGAGACGGGCTCCCAAGGCATCTCAGTGAGGAGGAAACTGGAAGGTGGGTCCTGGGAATGATAGTCATGAAGTTCTTCCGGGACGTAACCTTAGACAAGTGAAAGCAATGTTCGTGCGAGCCTGACTCTGAGAAATGCCTCCCCTTTTGCTAGTACAACTGAAAAACAGAAGGACTGTGAGGAAAGCCACCATGCCAGCTCGGTCCTGTTAGTAAGTTTCCCTTTTCCTCCAGACTGGGATGCACCAGTCTGTGCTGTCTTCAGGATTTGCACAGAGATCCGACGATGTAGTCAGAGGTGTCTGTGCCCATGCACAGATGCATGCTTGTCTCGGTTTCTGTTGCTGCAACAAAACACCCAGACGAAAGGCGACTTTGGAGAGAAAGGCATTGTTTGGCTTTCAATTCCAGGTCACAGTACATTACTGAGTGGAAGCCAAGGCGGGGATCACACCCATGGTCCAGAGCAATGAGAGGATACACATACCCTTGTTCATCTTTGTTTTCCTTTTTTTAAAAAAAGAAAACAATCATTTTTTTCATGTTGCATACCAATCCCAGTTCCCACTCCTTCCCCTGCTCTCATCCCCTCTACCTTCCCCCCCATCCCATCCCCTCCCCAGAGAAGGCAAGGAACATTGCTTTGAAGATGGACCAAGGCCTTCCCTACTATATCCAGGCTGAGCAAGGTAGCCATACAAAGAGAATGGGTTCCAAAACGCCAGTACAGGCAGCAGGGACAGATCCTGGTGCCACTGCCAGTGGCCCTGCAGTCTTCCCTAGCCATACAACTGTCACCCACATTCAGAGGACCTAGCTTGTTCCTATGCTGGTTCCTTCCCTGTCTAGCCAGAGTCGGTGAGCTCTCATTAGCTTGGGTAAGCTGTTTCAATGGGTGTCCCCATCATGGTCTTGACCTCTCTGCTCATATTCTCACTCCTCCCACTCTTCAACTGGACTTTGGGAGCTCAGCCCAGTGCTCCACTCCTCCATTGCTGATGGGAGTGCAAACTTGTACAACCACTCCGGAAATCAGTATGGTAGTGTCTCAGAAAATTGGGAATCAACCTACCTCAGGACCCAGCAATACCACTCTTGGGCATATACCCAAAGGATACTCAATCATACTACAAGAACATTTGTTCAACTATGTTCATAGCAGCATTATTTATAATAGCCAGAACCTGGAAAAAACCTATATGCCCCTCAACCGAAGAATGGATAAAGAATATGTGGTACATTTACACGATTTAAATTTAAATTGAAAAAATTACTCAGTGGTAAAAAAAAAAACAATGACATCTTTAAATTTGCAAATGGATGGACCTAGAAAACACCATCCTGAGACCCAGAAAGATGAACATGGTATGTACCTTTGTTCATTTTTTAATGGCTGTGATGTGGGATTTCCATCCCTTTAGCCAATGGTTTTTGGGGGTTATAAGCCCTATGATGTGGTCTTGTCTGGATGACTGTTTAAAAGCTGATAGGTTTTCTTGCTCTCGTGCTCTCTCTGGGCATGGTCAGAGAGCGTGTGGCAGAGGTGCGGCATGGTTGGTGCTCTTCACCCCTGGGCAGAATGGCTAGACAAAGGCAGCTGATCAAAAGCCCTAGCTGTCCTGGAACTAGCTCTTGTAGACCAGGCTGGCCTCAAACTCACAGAGATCCACCTGCCTCTGCCTCCTGAGTGCTGGGATTAAAGGCGTGCACCACCACCACCCGGCCCACTTTTTCTTCATATAAGTGATCACTGCTAATTTAGGCACAATGAAAATAGTGGTAGTCCAAAGTAACATCACACTCAGCTGATGGGGTCACATGAGTAAGCACACACACTTTGAAACAGCATCAGGATCAAAGGCGTTGGTTTCTCCAGCCAACACTAACTTGGCCCTGACGTGAGGTTGCAGTTAACACCGAGTTCACTTGTGAAGCAGACTCCTTTCCACGGGCCTGCTGGGAGCATCCCCCTAGCTTCCAGCAAATTACACCAGCAGCTGAACCTTCTCAGCACCCACTGATCTTCTGGATCAGTTAGAGCCAGGTCTGTACACAGAGCAGCTCCAGATAGCACTGGCAGTTCACTGCCTATTACCAGGGCAAACATCTGTACTTCAAAGCTTACAAACAGGATAACGGCTCTCAAAGACTCAGCAGTTCTAAAAAAGATTTCCATCCTGCCAAATGCTACCCAGGTATGTGACCCTCACCTGTGGTAAACAGTCAGGGGAAACACTTGAGAGTCAAAGGTACCATAGGCAGTGATTCCCACAAATGCCTCTTAAAGGGCACTCTGCTTCCAGTTCAGTACCAACGATACAATTCCGGACACAATTCCTTATCAAGAGTTTGCTTTCCAAGTCAGGGGCAGAAGGGAGCGGGACTTTGGATATTCTGAACTTCCAGAAATATCTCCGGGCCAAGGTGTTTTCATCTGAAAAACTGCCGAAGAGCCAAGACTGCTGACAAGCAAGTTCCCTGAGGAGGGTAACGGCTGTGAGCGTCAGTGCCTGCCAACAGAGGCCGCCCACCCTGAGATGCCCGTTCACTGTGGGAGAAAGGGGTAACGGCTGTGAGCGTCAGTGCCTACCAACAGGGGCCGCCCACCCTGAGATGCCCGTTTACTGTGGGAGAAGGGGGTAACGGCTGTGAGCGTCAGTGCCTACCAACAGAGGCCGCCCACCCTGAGATGCCCGTTCACTGTGAGAGAAAGGGGTAACGGCTGTGAGCGTCAGTGCCTACCAACAGAGGCCGCCCACCCTGAGATGCCCGTTCACTGTGGGAGAAAGGGATAACGGCTGTGAGCGTCAGTGCCTACCAACAGGGGCCGCCCACCCTGAGATGCCCGTTCACTGTGAGAGAAAGGGGTAACGGCTGTGAGCGTCAGTGCCTGCCAACAGAGGCCGCCCACCCTGAGATGCCCGTTCACTGTGGGAGAAGGGGGTAATGGCTGTGAGCATCAGAGCCTGCCAACAGGGGCCGCCCACCCTGAGATGCCCGTTCACTGGGGGGCTCATCCCCAGAAGGTGATGAAACGGACACAGGGACATCCCAGAGTACCCAGACCTTTGATCTTTCTCTAGAAACCACCTACTAATGAAGACAAAGCCAAAGAAGGAACAAAAGGAGACGCTAGTCAAATTTGAAAGTCATTATGGGTATAAGCAGTCTTCAAGCCAGCAGAAAGCTTTGCTGGATTACAAAGAGAACGCCCCACAGTTAGTCATTCTGAATCAGCTTTAGAAGACAGCACAAATCAAACAGACTAAAGCTATGATGTTTATTAATAGTAAATCCTCGTATAGACTATCTATGCATCCTCCTAATTTTCCACTTTATGAACTGTTTTTCTATCTAAAAAGAAAAATGCTCAAAGAGATATTCTTTTTGAAGAACAAAGTTTTAGAGAAAGTGATTATTAGAAATCCTTCAAGGATCCCAAAGACTTTAAAATCCATTTAAATCCAAGTGCAGAAGATCAGATTCTGCTCTGATATCATTTTCACACTTTTAGAACAACTCTTCATTATACATTCAGGCAGGAACAAGTTAGGAGGGGAAAGCAAGGTGACTAAGATGGAATATACTGGAATTCCCAAAGTATCAATACATATATATATACAAACACACACATATATATAATATCCACAGGAAAAGGCTGTAATAAAATGATACTATTACATTAGAGTGGTCATTTTCTCCTCTGTGTTTTACAAATGGCCTATTCTATGACTATATTTCATAATAAAAACTTATTAATGAAGAAAACTCCAGGTTATCAGACATAGTCAACTTTATAAAATAATTTTCAAACAAGTGAGCAGAAAATAGAGGCACTCGACTGAGAGCAGGGTGACGGTAGGGAGCTCCTTGGCCTTGGGGAGGATGAAATCCATCAGTAGCGTTTCTTGGTGGCACCGAACTAGGAGACAGGAAGCAGAGTCCCATCTTCTCTGAGGTACCACGGACTCAAACTAAGGCATACACAGCAAGGACTGAATTCCCACACGTTTACCAGGCTATGTGCCCAGGGAATCTCAGAGCACTTTTGAGACATGCACTTGTTTCGGGTTCAGGGAAGGAAAATGAGACTCCTCCACAGACACCATGATGAACGGTGGCTGAATGCTAGGTGGCCACTCTGATTCACCAGCGTTCCGGTAGGAAAGAGCAGGTAATGTGCTATCTGCGTGCAGTGTGGGGGGCCAGACTAGGAGCCTCATGCACGCTAGGCAAGCACACAATCACTAAGCTACCTCCCAAGTCCAATTCTTTCACAAATTGTATTTCATAAATTAACTACATTCCCTTAAGCTATATCCATGAGGCTGCAGGCTCACTCACCACTGAAGCATACAGAGGGGACCTGCCATACTATGTTAGGAAGTTGCTTAGGGCAATAAGTGTAGAATCTGTGTGAGTTTCATAAGATAAAAACTTAAAGCTCACTCCTGGAAAGTCACAATAGACACTCCAGGTGAGTAAATTGACCCCAGAAAGGGGTGTAAGTATTCCCCGTGCATGTATATGAAGACAAAAACCTCAGTAAGAATTTCAGAGTCTGTTCCCCGAGCAACATAATTTTGTGTGTCTGTGATGCTAGCGTTCAGGAAATGGGAGCAGGAAGTCCACTGGAGGCCAGCGTGGACCACAGAGGGAAGCAAAAAATAAAGTAAAACAAAATAAAGGCAAGAAAGAAATCGTGGTTTGTGCCTGAAGGCTGTGCACAGGCTAATGTGGCTTCGGTCTCCACTGGAGGCGCCTGGAGGTTGTGCTTCGGAGAGTCCCATGGGTCCTCAGGCAGGGTCACAGCTGCTGGCTGCTGAAGAAGGATTTAGTCTCCCTGCAGACGGGATTTACACAGAGCGGGCAGCTCAGCGTCAGCTGCGTGGAGCACAGCTTGTTTGACTGGATGTGTGAGTACACCAAATCAGCCAAGGCCTGCAAGACAGAGCACAGGGCCATCAGTGGTGCAAGTCTGCTGGGCCGCGTGCACGCCCTCCGTGCATCCTGGGGAAAACAGCTCTGGTTAGGGTTTCTTTTCAACTGAGTTCCAGAACTGTAAAATATAGTCCTTCCAGGAGACTGTCAGCTTAGGCAGAGTCCAAACGGAGACTTTAGAAAGGGACCCTCTTACCCCACCCACTGCTCCTTTCCCCTGAGAAGCAGATCTAAAACTAGGCAGCAGTAGGTGGGCAAAATAAGGAGGCTGGGGCTACCGAAAGGACAAAGGAGGAGCAGAGAAGGAATTCGCTCTTAGTTTTGTAATTAATTGGAACTCCAAATGTACTAATATGTGAGAAAACCAATATCGTGCAGTAGTTTCTCCAAGGACTACTCTGCACTATGTTCTACTAAAATGGTTGTAACACCACGGTACCTTAGAGAACAATGGATTTCCATTAAGAGACTCCGCTCTTCTGATGTTTTCAGCTCCACACTGAATCAAGTGAGAAGGGAAGAAAACACAGACACATTTTATTTTCCTTTCCTTCTTTTTCTTTCTTTCTTTTTTTTTTTAAGACACTAAGTGCCACAAAAGAACAAACGCACAGAAATACACGCACACAACGCCGCAGCCTGGCCTTGAATGGTCACAGACTGCTCGTGAAGGTGGGTCGTGGGGTGGTTGGGCAGGCTGAGCAGTTGCCAGAAGCTGTTCTTCTGGTCCCCACAGTGATGGGATTCCAAACCATGCTTGAGTTACACTGGATGGAATTCTCAAGAGTGATTCCCGTCCACGTACCATTCTTGTTCATATTCCACCTCTCTAATCCAAACCGTACCGACCCTGTCTAAGGAAATGTTGCTGTAATTAAGTAAAATTTCCTACTTGCTTTGATCCCAAGTAAGAACCAAGAGAAGGAAATTAATTTGTGGACTCTAAGTCATACTGAGTCTAAATAGAATCCAGGGTAGAACTGGGTTTTAAAATAAGCTTTTACAGAGAAAAAACTAAGAAAAAAATCTGAGTATTGTTCAGTACATTCTTTTCCCATCTTAAAAAACAAAACAAACAACAGAAACAAACAAACAACAACAGATACAGCTAACTGCTCTCAGATAATGGAGAACGATATAGGATTTATTCCATAGCTAGGATCTTCTCTCTCCATCCATGTTGAGACATGGTCAGTTGCTTTATCCTTTACACTGGCATTTAAATGAGGCGCCCACTCGGGAAGCACAATGTATTCAGCAAACAGCTAGACCTCAACATGGAGGAGGTTCTACAAACCAGCCATGGCAGCAGAATAAGCAGTGTTAGTAATGGGGGGGGGGGGGGAACTAGGAAGATGCAGCATCAATGAATCTGTCCGCAGAACATCATCGGAAAAGTGAAAGCATAGCTGCATAGCATATGACAGTCACGTAGCCTATGATAGTGACATAGCATATGATAGTTAAAATTAAAAAACCTCACATGACTATTAATCAAGGATTTGCTAAAAATGGCTATAGGCATTTAATTATATTTACTCATTTATATCCAAAATATGTATTTACAAAAAGAAAATGAGGATTACAAAAATATGGATAATATTTCATAAATGCAGAAATGCCTATTTTAGGGTCAGAGTTTGAGCGAGCCCCACTCTTGACAGCACCTTCTTGGCACCATCTGAGAACTTTATTATTTTTATCAGCAAAAGGCAAAAAAGTCATTTCCACTGTGGAATAAAACGTTTTAAACTTTTAAAGTTAGTTGTTACAAGCATGTTACATTTTCATATCAAAATAATGATAGCTACATGGTTTCCTTTACTCCCTACAGGGATTAATTTATCAATCACTAAAAATCCTCTTGGTTACTATTAACAGCCACTGCTTGTAATACAAATGAATAGGAACCATCACTCAACACATAAAAAAACCCTTATGTTCAAACATCCGTATTTGACTGGTGACTGGCATAGGCACACAAACTGCAGGGGTGGACAGCTGGTTCTGGTTCTGCCCCTCCTCACCCTGCACTCTGCCCCTCACCACCACCCAGTCCCAGAAGGGGTGTAGTGCCCTGTGGAGCCAAATTTCCACCAATCACACGTGGGAAGGCCATGAGTTCTCACCCAAGATTAGAGGGGAAAAGGACTTCCTGAGTTCCCATGCTTCCAGCTTCCCACAGAAACCCAGCAATAAACCACCAAAGGTTTCAGGCTAGCCCTCAGAAGCTACAAGACAGGTAAGCAACAGTTTTTCTCCACCCTGAGTGACACACCACATCCATCTTATGCCAGCAGTGGTATTTATTATTTCAATAGTCAGATTGATCACAACCTGTTAGCAAACAGCTAAGGAAGTGAAGACCCAGAAGAGGTCAGGGGAATCCCAACACACACTGCTTCTGAGTTTGTTCTATGTACCTCTCCGAAATGGCAAGGACTCACATGTCCTCAAACCCAACCAGAAACAGGGTAACAGCCCAAAAACCACAACAGTACTAAGTGCAGGGAATGAATTACAGACTAATAAACATCCCCCTCAGAACTGGTAAGATATGCAATTCCTTTTCACTGAAGATTCCAACTTCACATGGTAACTCACACTGAAAAAAGCATTAGTTTCAATGATATTGAGCAACATGGTTTAATAAAGGCAAAACATCCTATTCTAGGGCTGATGTAGAATTAATTTATGAAGTATCATTCAAAATGATGAGAACTCAGTACATACAAACATATCAAAAGTTTTTTTTTTCTTTTTTTCCTTCCTTCCTCCCTCTCCTTCCCTTCCCTCCCTCCCTTCCTTCTTCTTTCTCCCTGTACCCCTCCCTCCCTCCCTCCCTTCCTCCTCTTCCTGCTTCCTTTGTTTGCTTTTTTAAGATGGTCTCTCTATGTAGCTTTGGTTGGCCTGGAGCTCACTAAGTAGAAGACTGGCCTTGAATTCACAGAGATCTGCTTGCCTCTGTCTTCTAGCGCTGGGATTAAAGGACTGTTACACCACACCCATTCCCATAACAGTAATTTTTATAAATTGATAACTGAAGAGAAAACGTCCTGTTAAAACATCATGGCGGGACTAAGAAGCCATATGGGTACACTCACCTTCTTGGCCAACACTTGGGAATACTCAATATCCAGTTCATAAAGCGTCTCAATATGATCACTGGTAAACGCTATTGGGACCAAAAGGATATTCTTCCTCCCCCTCTCACAAAGCCCTTTGATAGCTTCATCTGTTTGAGGACCCAACCAGGGTACTGGGCCAACCTGTGAGAAAGGAGGACCAATGCAGACACGGTCAATAACATATTACCGCCACGGCCCCCACCCCCAACACACACAGAGCACACACGTGTCCATCCAGGTGAGAGCCCCTCCTACACCTCCTTGAATGGGCTTGAGTCATTTTCACACTGAAGCTTGAATCCTTCTAGAGGCCAATGGTACAAATAAACAGTTTCTTCCACTAATGCTAAAAGTCAGATATTAGCTGATGGAACTCCCCGGTGGCTCAATTCACCCTTCTATCTACAGTGAGCAGTTGACTTACAGAACAGCTTGCTGGCTTGGAAGAGCTCAAATTCCCATTTATAAATAAATGATAAAGCATATTTTCAAGAGACGATAGTCTAAAAATGTATGAAAGGTACCTACCTTGGATTGCCATACCAGCCGGTAGGGGTTCGGGTAGCCCAGCTCTTCCATGACTTTGTGGACAGTGGCACCTACTTCTTGGGGATAGGGGTCCCCTCTGTTGACAACCTGCAGTGGAGACAGAGTAACATGCATCACCAACGCGGTGAAGGGTGCCAAGAACCGCTGGTAGTGCAGAGACAAGATGAGCATGAACCACACCCCCTCCTTGCTGTCCCCTGAATACTAATGACAATCGAATCTGAGTACTGTTGGGAAAGTTCTTTGGTTCCGCTATTCATTGGCAAAGGAATTTGGTAGCTACAAGATCCCAAAGAAGATGCCGTTTGTAGAAGATGGACAAGGTCTACTGGTTCAGCTATGAACCGATACTATCTATGTCTTCTACTCAGTATCTCTCTTCCCTTCCTTGACAGCTGACAGCAGCAGGATGACTGTGAGCAGTGAGGCGTGCGCTCCCAACGGGAAAGCCTACTAGAAACCTTTGAAGATATTCAGCACACATTTTTATTCTAACTCTTTTCATCCTTCGTGGGACACTGACTCCCTAACTCCAGCCCTCTGCTTTATGGTGTTTATTACCGCCTGCTCCACCATGGTATTTTCCTTCATATTATGTTAATTATCTTTCCCTGTTACTGTACATGAACAAAGGTTTTGCCTGTTTACATCATCCCCACATCTGATATATATAATAAGTGCCCGATAAATACTGTACTGAGGAAATGGAATAACTAAGAAAATACATTATGATATTACTGGTGGCCATACTATCATTAGAAACATAAATGTAGAAGGATGAAAGAAATACAAAGCTGCCTTTGGCACCATATAACAATAACTGCTACAGGCAGGATCCACTGTGAGGCGGCTCCTGGGATGTTCCAGTGTAAGCATTCGTCTGCCCTCTCTGGAGCTTCCCTCTGGTACCTAGAATGGATCCTTGAAAGGCTTTGCATGACACTGAAAAGGAGTTGTGATGCCACAGAAACGAAAGAGACAGGCTTCCAAAGGGAGCGATTTCCCTTAAAGCCACTTGTCACTGATGTCGTGGCTGCATCTTGCAAGTGAGGGACACAGGGCTTGACTCCGGTGATCATCCAGGAACAACATGGTACCCTCCACCTACGTTGGTTGGTGCCGTTATTCATGTGGTTCAGACCAATGGCAAATGTAATCTCCCACCTCTATGGCACGGAAAATGGTGTTCGTGGGACAGGATCTTAGTTCTGAACAGATGAAACTGGGCACTGAGTCCAAGATCTTTCAAACACCCTACTAGCCTGGTATTGCCATGTTTCCTGAAATGCAACCGCCATGGCAGAGGAGGTGACATTTCAGTGAACAACCTGCTATAATATGATGAGCCAAGGGTCACAAGCTCTGTGCTGTGTATTCTCTGGTCACACTGTGGTCCCTGGTGTTAATGAATTCGAAACCAGATTGGCTCCCTAGAAAGCACAGGCCTCTGCTAAGTTTTGAAGAGAGAATTGGGTTTAGTGGGAATGGAGCTGGCTACACAGTTCTGCGTACAGAAACTGCACATTGTTCTCCTTCCACACAGCAGGCAAAAGCACAAGGCTTAGCGGATACACTTGATGGAAATCCTTACATATGAATGAACCTTCCAGCTAACATTAATGGCTATTAATAAGAGATCTGTTTGTAATATTGTGCATCGAATTAATTATGGGAGGTTTCAGAAAATGAATCTATGAGCAAGCTACGGCTGGGATTTTAGAATTCATTCTTGCACTGAGTTGAGGGCAAAATGGAGCCAGGTCCATTTTACACACTTAGAAAGTAAAACAACCCTATCTTTTACTGCTAGGTCACCTAACAAAACGTTCTTACTTACAGACATTGGCAGGGAGTGGGCAGAAAACAGAATGACCACCTCGCTTCTCTTCTCCCGTGGAAAATGGTCCAGTTCTTTCAGAATGTGGTCTGCAAAGCACTGTAGGAAGCCCCAGAATGAGGGAGAAGGCAGTGAGAAGGGAAAGGAGGGAAGAAGGAAGCATCTCAAAAATGAGAACGATACCAAATATCTCAGGGTAATCTTCCAAATCTGGAACTCTACCTCTTTTTGAAAAAAATGCAAACAGTACAGTCTCTTTGATTTGGTTCGGCTTCAGAATGGATGGCAATGGTTTAGGGGCCTAGGGAATTTGATGGGAAACTTCTAACGCTCACTAATGGCTCTCTGCAAACGAATGCCGAGGTTGCTTCCCCTCGGGAAGAGCAGGGCACACTTCCAGATGGGAAGGAAACACAGATGGGAGGAGAAGTTGTTTTAAGATCTCACATTTGCTCTGTTAGCAGGAAAACAGCTTACGGGGTCTTTCTAAATCTTCCTTACTTTGGCTCTTGGGCTTATCACACTAAAACACATTAGCCAGAAATAGGAGAGAAATTAGAAAATACTCGTCTATTTTTTATGACATCTTTCATACGAGTCCAGGGTCTGCACCAAAGCAATCCTCCTCACAAGCTTCTTGACGGATGACAGGCTGTACAGCCCCATTAAATACGCAGAGGGGGACAAGATGTGGTCATGGGAGGGCTGCCCAGCCATATGTGTGAACGCGGACTAGAATCCAGGTCCTGCTGCCTTCAGACCTCTGTCCGCCAGACCGGCTCCCTCTCGCTTCTCCTTGGCACTTGCTGAGTCTCATGGGTAGGTGCTGAAACACCAGATCTCAAAGGGCTTTCTTTCATCTTACACTTGAATCATTCCTGGCCATTTGCTTCATAAGGAAAATGTACCAAGAGACAGAAGTCGGTCAACTGAGAAAACTGGAATGTGACGGGAAACTAGACAGGAGTTGAATATCAAGTGTTAAAACAAACTGCGGTGGACTTACGTATTGTGGTTATCTTAAAAGAACAGCCCTGATCTTAAGGTGTGTAGGTGTGTGTGTTTATCTGTTCTTAGGCACTTCAGAAAAAAATATATGTGAACATATATATATATATATATACACATACAGAGAGCATGTAAATGATAGGTTAAATGAAACAAATGTTAACACATGAATATGGGTAAAGAATAGACAGCAATTAATTATATAATTTTTAAAAGATTTTACTTACTTTGTGCATTCATCTGCATGTATGGCTGTGCACCACGTGAATACTTGGTACATGGAATCCAGAGGAGGCCATCAGATCCCCTGGGACTGGAGTTACTAATGGTTGTGAGCTGCCCATGTGGGTACTGGAACTCAGACTGTGAGTCCTATGCAAGAGCAGCCAGTGCTCTAAACCACAGAGCCATCTCTCCTGCCTTTACTTTATTTTTAATTATGTATATTTGTGTATGGGGCAGCATATGTGCGTGTGTGTGAGGATGCCGGCAGATCCAGAGAAGAACATCCAGATCCCCTGGAGCTGGAGCTGCAGCGGCTGAGAGCCACCTGAGGAGGGTGCTGGGAACGGAACTGGAGTAGTGGTATGTGCGCTTAACCAGGGAGCCTTCTCTCCCGTCACATAATCCTTCTAACTATTACTCTTGCAATTACTTTGCATGTACAAATAAAATTTAAAGAACAACTCGACAGAATCACAGCAGCTAGGAGCTGATGTACTGTAGGTTCCAAACCAGTCCCTAAGAATACTGAGATATTTACCATTCCAGAACTCACAAATTTGGTAAGCAAATACGCTACAAAATGATACCTAGAAACAGTATCTAATACTGTTTGCCTCTCTCCCCTTTTCCCTCATATCCATATTGTAAGTGTGACAATATTTGGTACAAACAAAAGCCGTGTTTTTATAGTGTTCATAATGTTTAGAGAGCAGGCCTTCTCAGGATTATTTTTAGAGAACAGCCTACATAAAGTAGCCACTGTAAAGTTTACGTAGGAGCCTGGAATATACATTTACCGCAACTACTCCAGCGGCCACATAAAGAGCGGTATTAAAGAAATGGTAATACTATGGCTATTTTGAGTAGGTAGTGCTGCTAACATGCAGAAATGTGGATTTAAGGCCATGGTTTTAGTTGCATTGAGACTAGATTTTTAGGGGTTTGTCCCCCCTTCCTTCCCTTTCCTGGGCTTGTAAAATTGCAAGTAAGAACACAGTTCCTTGGGGCTTGCGAGAGTCACTAAGCCATCTTCAAAACTCAAGCGGCACGGACAAATAGAAGTGCTACTTAAATCACCTAAACCCATCTGCAGGATTTTCTGTGCACAGCCCCCGTGCAGAATGAAAGCAGCACCGCCTCTCAGAGCCTTCAATCACACCATCCAGGAGGGCAGATAAATGCCTCTAAAATTCCCTTTCATTTTATGAACAGAGACTTCCTCGGTTAAGAGACCTTTCCATCTTTCTGCTTCCCCCTTTTCAAAGGGCTGAATTTTAATGCAAATCTAATTACTCCCTCGATCAGGGCAGGCAGATGCTGTGCAGACCCCTCTTCCCGTGCCACATGTCAGTGGAGACCTGAAATACCCCCTCCTTCCCAGCCGCAGCAGCGGTCGGGGCCTTAGGCACTCCAGTACCCCTGGCTGGACCTGGGAGAAGGACGACCGCTGGACACACACACAGCCCACAGCGACACCCATCCCTAGGGGACCGCTTTCTAGTTTCTACTCCAACACAAGTGTTAACCCTTTCCCTACCCACAGGACACCGCTCTGGGGAAAGCCGGCCTGATTTTAATGCCGTCTAGCACCATCTAGTGGTCACAGGTGTGAAGTGCTGCCGCTCTTTGCAGGTATTTTGCCCCATTACAGAATAGTCAAGGAATATAAAATAAATCAAACTATAGTCCAAACCACTTCTATATTTCTCGACCTAAAATAGCGCAAAAGCAGAAACTTCTACAGACTCTACACACTCTATCTGAATGACTCAGGACTTTTTAAAAACCAACTTCACTCATGGTTTTTTTTAAAGAATAAAATAATACCAATTCAAAACTATTGAATTTATAATTGTAATTTTTAACTGATTCTTCTAAAATAAAGTAGTCATTGACAAAATGTTACAAAGATAAGTGTACAGGATAAATGAGCATTTTCTTTTGATCTATGCGACTTCCCCCACTGAAATGTTTACTTTCCTGGGTCTGAATATGCATCTCTACTGTCTGTACTTTTTAATCTTTTGATATTTTAAAGGATTTAAATTTGTTGGTCATCCAATCTAAGTATGTAAGTTAATGGAAATACTGTGTATTGATATAATCATTAATGCTCTTTTGGTCACTGAAAAATACAAAACTCAAAATATAACAATGGTATCAATGTATAATCTGCAGAGACAAGAGTCTCACCATCTTAGCCTTAAATTTAGCATCACTTTTCATGACAAGTAAAAAGTCTAAAGGTGTGGCTTTAACTCCCAGCATGGAAGGTAAGCAAGCGACCAGCAGGGTCAGAAACCACCTCAAGCAGAGCAGAGCTGACTCGCACTAGAGGCTGTGAGGACAGAGGCTGCTGGCGGGCGGGCATACACACCTGGATGAGGAGGGGATGCGTGGGCCACCTGTCAATTGTGCTCCACTTCATGGTGGGCTTCCGTCCCATCTCGTTATAGTATCTGTAAATGGCATTTAAGCTGCTGCCTAAAATACAAGGGAGCCATTTAGTAGACACACTTGATTGTGGTAAAAAATACAACAGACTAGTAAGGGCAATAATTGTAAGTCCAGAGTAGGCAGCTGTGTCTATACAGAAACCCAGTCTAATTACGATCTTTTCAATACTCTAAAATGCATATAGATTTAACTACCCTGCAGATGAAGATCACTAAAGAGCAATCAATTTCAACAGACCTTCAAAGACTATTGAGGCCATTTCCACGGAGAGATGTGCGGCTGGGAGTTTACGAGACGCCAGCTATTGTGACTTTGCAGGGACCAAGTCTTAAAATTGAGAGCATGTGAAGAAAAGCGCTCCCATTATGACCAGAATCAGCCCCATTACAGGCAGTGTAGGGGGTGAGGAAGAAAGACACAAGTGGGCTGTTATCCCAGCATGCTGATGCTGCTTTGTGTCCTCTCGCAGCGATTTCCTGGCATTTTCCGTTAGAGCTGCTGCATTTTACAAAGTTTTCGGGTTAGAATATGCATAATTCCATATCTAGAGCATTTTGGACATTTCCAGTCAGTATTACAAGTTAACTATTTCTCAATTGAAAGCTTCAGAGCCACCCTTTCTAAAGGCGCACTCACAGGGCAAGCCGCCTAGCAAGGGGTCGAAAAGCCCACATTTAATCAATTTTTACAAAATGTACCATTCCCTGGAAGGAAGGAAACAGACGCTGCACTCTGGCAGGTAACCTAACAAGAGCTGTGTTTCTGTGTGAAAGGGGACTATGATGACAACCGAAGTCCAGGAGAGGGCTGGCACCCTGACCAGGGACGCTGACGCTGGGGTCAAACCAGAAAGTCTACAAACCAACCCTAACAGGGGCTTCTTACTCAGTGTCACACAAAGCAAGTTCCACCACCCCTGAGTGCTGCCTATCGCCAGTGTCCTGGGCTCCTTACCACAGGAATCATAGTTAAGCTGCCACTTTAAAAAGCTTACTCAGGACAGAGCCACAGTTTAACTTAAATTATTTGTTCAGGCTAAGATTCAACTTGCATTAAAAAAGAAAAAACCAACGGGCTTAATTCAATGAGTAGAAACAGTGATGTAAGAGAATCTAAATTTGAGGGACAAAAATAATTTCCAAAGAAATCAAAGCATCTCATCGTATTCACACTGCAGCTCTCGCTGCGCTTCTGGGCATCGGTTTCTGACCTACAAAGGGGCTTCTGGGAGCCACACGGCCATGTCAGCTCGCTCCTGTCACTGGACAACAGTCAATGCACTACTGGAAGAAGTAATTAAGAAGGGGGAGACAGAAGGGAGAAAGATGCCATGAGAAATACATAGGACACACGTGTCTGTTCAAAGGACAAGAGGCAAAAGGAGACTATTGGCCTCCAAGAATAAATGTTTCCTAAAATATTCATAGCTCAGAAGTACAGATGTTTAGTCCTTACACATGAGACGCACTAGAGAAAGGCTGCTTGTGCCCTGAGCCCTGGCCACACCGCGGGAACCATCTGTGGGCAGAGCGCATCTGCAGCCACACAAGTAACAACTGCAACTTACGAACTGTGGAGAGCAGACAGCTCCAAGTCAAGGGTCATTGTCAAAGCAAGATAAAAATATGCCTTGAAAATTCTAAGATCTGACTCATTCTCCAATAATACATTACTAGATATTTTAAAACTGTAGGTTCCCACAGTAAATCACAGTTCAGATTTCTGGGTGTATGAGCAAGATTGGGCATTTTAACAGGTGCTCTCTCTCACTTTATACACACACACACACACACACACACACACACATGCATGCACGCACACAGTCTGTGTGCCTCACCAATTAAGGCACACGACACTTGGAATGTTTCCTCCATAGCCTTTTGTTTTTCCTTATAGGCATAATAACACTAATATTCAAAGGCAAACTGGGAATATAAATGCACTGATCCAAGTCCTTGAGAGAATACAAATATACTTGTGGGTAATAATAAAGCTTTACCTATAATCAAGTGCTGTGAAAAAATCCTTCTGTACTCTGTGTAAATTATGCTCTGATGGTTTAATCAAGAAGCTAACTAACCAGTAGCTGGGCAGGATATGGTTAAGCAGGAAAGCCAAACCAAAAAGGATGGGAAGAGAAAGAGCAGAGTCAAAGGAGTCACCAGCCAGATGTACAACGAGTCAGACACACATAATGGAATAGAGCTAAAGGCCATGAACCTTGGGGCACTACATGGATTGATAGAAATGGGTTAAATTATAAGAGCTAGTTAGTAATAAGCCGGAGCTATTGGCCAAGCATTTGTAATTTATATAAGCTTCTATATGTATATTTGGGAGAGGGTAATCAGGAAGGGGGAAACACCACCACCTACATATGGCACTCCAACGTGGTAGGTGTACATCCAAATAAAACCTACAAAAGTTTAAAAGGGGGAGGGATCTAGACACAAGAAATGTAGCCAAAAACAGCTTCCTAGCAAGGTATGGTGGTACATGCCTTTGATCTCAGCATTCAGAAGGCAGAGGCAGACAGATCTCATGAGTTCAAGGTTAGCCTCTACATAGTGAGTGAGACCTGGCTCAAAAAAGCAAAAAGCAAGCAAAGAAAGAAAGAATATACAGTTTTTCAAACTTATGTTTCATCTTCAGTCAAACGTGCAGAGAACAGCAAAGAGTAATACATTCCAAAAACCAAGAACACAGAAATTCTGTAAAATGTTCATTTGAGCCCCTCATGTTAGTTTTTATTGTTTTTGTTTGTTGTTGTGTTTTGGTTTTGGCTGTTAGTTTTTTGGGTTTTTTGTTTTGTTTTTGTTTATTTGTTTGTTTATTTTTTGTGATAGGCTTTTACCATGTAACCTTGGCTGGCCTGGAACTCACTCTATGGATCAAACTAGTCTCAAATACAGCCTGCCTCTGCCTGGGATTAGAGGTGTGAGCCACCCCAACTGGACAGGATAGATTTTAAGTTAACCAGTAACTAACCCATAACTGAAGATAGACACAAAAATAAAATAGCAGTATTTCCACATTTCCATATGGATACTTCTGCTTTCAAAATGAGAACAGTCATCCACTTTACTCCCTTAATAAGAATTTCATGGTAGACATAAAAATAAGGTTAAGATACAAGCCTAGAAAGTGATTAAGGTTCATTGTTGCTCTTTTAAGCAACTGTATTAAAGCAGCACCCAAGCATAGCCACACCTTCCAGCCACCATTTGTAACCTCAGCAGACAGACCAATAATTCCAGAAGCACACGAAGCGTACGATTTCAAAGTGACTGACCTGAACTCTTAAGTGTCAAGAAGACACTTGACCAGATCTGCCATTCAAATTGCAAATCCCTTCAATACTCAGACTTCTGGGCTAGCTCTGCCAGGGCTATAGACACCTTCGAGTTGTCCTTACCTGTGGTGGAGCAGCTGAACTGTGGGTACTGTGTGAAAGCAATGGCCCTTTCTAGGCTATCTCTCTCCATCTCTTCGATTGCTTCTTCTGTCAAAGGATGGACGTACCGGAATCCAATATAGTATTTGTGAGGTGCTATTAGGAAGCACAAGTGGGAAGGAGAAGGTATTAATCTTTATATAGATTCCTCAGAGTCACCAAACATAATGTAATGGCCAGAACAATGAACGACTAACCTAATTTTCTACAATGCTGCTACAGTGAGCAAGTTAGGGTATTCCTGGCATCTTGTCCATCTTTTAGCAGGCAACAGGGCACTCAGTTATTCTGAGATCAGCGGTCCTACCTTCCTACCTTTTATTAATGTTTAATCTTTAAAGTGCAGGCTTTTATTCTTAGTTATCTGTTCTCACCAGGCATAAAAAGACTAAAGAAACATCAGGAAGGGGAAAAATAAAAACAAAAAAAACAAAAAACAACTAGTACCTACCTGGACAAGGTGGCACAGCCTTATTTAATCCCAGCCCTCAGAAGGAGGATCTCTGTGAGTTTGAGGCCAGACTGGTAAATATAGATATAGATATAGATATATAGATATATAGATATAGATATATAGATATAGATATAAAGATATAGATATAGATATAAAGATATAGATATAGATATAGATATAGATATAGATATAGATATAGATATAGATATAGATATAGATATAGTTCTGGGACAGCCAGAGAAACATAGTGAGACCCTGTTTCAAATTTCTCAATAACCTTTCAGATACTGGCCCACTTTGGACATGCTCTCATGTACTATAAATACAGACAAAAAGTGCGAGAGGTGGGAGGGTGGTTTTCTCTGCTGGGCTGGGTTCCCAGTTCCCAGCACACGCAGAAGACTGCATCTTACTGTGAATTTATCCCCAAATAAATAAACCTTTGTTATACTCCATTCCGGGCTATTGCAGAAGTCTTTGGCACTACTACAGTTTAGCACCTAATGTAGTCTGAGCCCATGCCACTGCCACCCTCCTCTTGCCCCACGCAGTTGAGCTACTACTCCAGCCCGCTGCGCAGGGCTGGCCCACTGCGCAATTTGGCAATCTCCCATAGGCCCACGCCCACTGGTGGCCATTTTCTTGATGGTTGATTGATATGGGATGGCCAAGCTCACTACTGACAGTGACCCTGGGCAGGAGGTCCTGGATGGTCTATGAAAGCAAGCTGGGGGGGGGCTGGAGATATGGCTCAGTGGTTAAGAGCATTGCCTGCTCTTCCAGAGGTCCTGAGTTCAATTCCCAGCAACCACATGGTGGCTCACAACCATCTGTAATGAGATCTGGCGCCCTCTTCTGGCCTGCAGGCATACATGGAGGCAGAATGTCATGTATACATAGCAAATAAATAAATTAAAAAAAAAAAAGAAAGCAGGCTGGGCAAGCCACGGAGAACCAACAGGGAAGCAGCATTCCTCCGTAGTCTCTGCTTCAATCGCTGCCTGCTTGAATTCTTACCTTGGCTTCCCTCAGTGATGGATTTTAGAGGGAAATACAAAATGAAATAAACCCTTTCCTCCCCAAGCTGCTTCTGGTCAGCATGGTATCACAGCGATAGGAAGCAAACTAGGACACTCACACTGGCCCATGCTTTTTTTTTTTTTTTTTTTTTTTTGGTTTTTTCGAGACAAGGTTTCTCTGTGGTTTTGGAGCCTGCCTGGAACTAGCTCTTGTAGACCAGGCTGGTCTCGAACTCACAGAGATCCGCCTGCCTCTGCCTCCATGCTTGAGTATTATACGAAACTACGTATCCTGCAAACAAGTGCACCTTTGATGGGAATGAATGTGGCACCTGTAGCTCATTCCCGCAGTTAGTGTCTCGGTCTATGGAGAGGTTCTCACAGTTACCAGGTGTGCGCCATCGGAGTTAGGCCAACACGGCAACTCACAGCCTCACAGTGGTGGCAGCGTGGAGCCGAAAGCAGGGCGAAAGATTGCTCAGGGACTCACACTTTGAGTTACAGGCTAGCTCCTTTTCTAAATGCTCATCTAATTACTATCCAACTAGAAGAAAGGGCCATTGCAACAGCCTTACCCATCTTCTGTGTATGGAGTGTAGCTTCTTCTTTACAATCTAGCTCAACTTCACCTCAACTTCCTTTTGAAACACTTTCCAACTTTTTGGTGTATTTGTAACATTGGCAGTAATTTTAAAAGGGTCTACAGTTGGAGGATAGTATCATAAGAACTCAGTAGTTAAATGACCATGTAGTATATATATTATAGAAACTCACAAATCAATAGTTGCTAGTACTAGACCAGGGGAATGGATCAGTAGAAAAAGGATTTGCAGTACACACATGACAACTGGAGTTCAGAGCCCTGGTAACCACATAAAAAGCTGGGCAAGTCAGGAAGTCACCAGTATGTAGGAGGCAGAGGTAAGAGATCCCGGGGGAAACCGGCTAGCTTAGACTAACTGGATTGGTGAGCTCTGGGTAAAACTGAAAGACCCTGCCTCAGCATATAAAATGGAAAGAAATCGAGGAAGACACCAAACATACTAACTTTGGGTCTCCACATGCACATACACGTGTTCCCACAGTTACAAACATGCACACATGCACCACATAACACACACGCACACACACACACATTGCTGATGTAAAGAATCATCCTGCCTCTGCATCCTGCATGCTGGGATTACAGGCGTGCACCACCACGCCTGACTCTGAATTTCTACTTTAGCAAACCTGGCACTGTAGTAATGAGAATACACACCTGTGTCAGGGGACAGCTCATCCAGCAGCTTCACCATGCCTTCTCCTTGCTTGGAAGTCCACATCTTGATGGGGGATCCACCTCCAATCCTGCGATACTGTTCTTGAATTTTGGGGGTTCGGCGTTTGGCGATGAATGGTGCCAGCTTACTAAATCATTGAACATATAGGTAAGTGGCTTTTATTCGACCTTTGTAATCCGAGATACATTTTCTACCCGATAAAGAAGAGAGAGGAAAATTTAAAGAGCCTAATAGAACTTGTCTTTAGGAATACTGTCGTGAGAGTTCACCTCTGCACTCCACAAGTGTTCGAGGAACACACCCTGCACATCCTGCGTACCTGACACCCCTGACCTGGATGCTGCTAACTACCACCTGTGTGCTGACTCTGTACCTAACAAGAATTAGGAGAGAAAGCACAGGAAGTGTACACTGGTTTCATGACGCTGGGGACTGAATCAGTGTCCTCATCCATAATAGTCAAGGATTCTGCCATTGAGCTGAAGTCCAGGACCATCGTGATTTGGTTTTAATTTTGAGACTGACTCTCACCATGTGATGTCGACTACCCTTGAACTCACAATGTTGCTGAGCCTGGCCCTGGATACTGTTTCTCCAGTTTCTTGCATCACCAAGTCTAACTCACACAGGGCTCTTTTTTAAAGTTTTTGTTATGCTTACTATTTAGTGTGTGTGCGTGTGTGTGTGTGTGTATGCAAATGTACATGTGTGTATGCACTCTGGCACAAATATGATGGTCAGAGGACAACTGGCAGGAGTTGAATGGCTCTCTTCTGTCATATGGGTCCATCCGTGGCATGTACACACCCACACTACGCTAAATAAAATATAAAAAAGAAATTCGTGTGATGAAAAGGGTTTCAGTGGAGCAATGTAAAGACTAAGACTCAAACAACAGTTTTTGACACATCTATTACATATTGGGTACAATCTTAAAGATCTCTAGAAAATAATACATGGCTCTTACTTCCTCTCCTAAAACAACCACAGATGCTATTATATATTACAAGAAACATCTCTCAACAGCGACAGAACTGGAGTGAAGAGATGAGAAAGCGTAGTATCAAACAGAGACCTCAGGGATTAAATTCCAAAATTCCTGGGCATCAAAACCTCACTACTGGACTGGAAAGATGGCTTAGCAGTTAAGACCATGTACTGCTCTAGCAGAGGACTTGAGTTCTGTCCCAACACCCATGTTAGGCAGCTCACAACCATCTATAACTTCTACAGCCCTCCTCCAGATTCCTCAGCCCCTGTGCCCACACATGCCCAGACACACACTTAAATACAAACTTAAAATAAAATCTTTTTTTTTTCTGAGATAGGGTTTCTCTGGGTGTAGCTCTGGCTATCCTGGAACTTGCTCCATAAGCCAGGGTGATCTCAAACTCACAGAGATCTGCCTGCTTCTGTTATCCAAGTGCTGGAATTAAAGGTGGGGGTCACCACCATTCAGCTTAAAATAAAATCTTTTTAAAAACTCTCTCACTATTGCACAGAGAAATGTATTTAGTTCCATGAACACCCAGGTACACTCTGTGCTAGGGCTAAGGTAAGTTTATCTATAATTGCAAAGACAGTGCCTTCTACCCTCAAAGTGCCCTTAGAACACTTTGTCACCTGCCATGCGCTCTCTTTAAGCCAAGGCAGAGGCGACTGTGCTGCTGTGGCTGGGATGTGGCTGGGATGCTTTGGAAGGACTCTGCAAAGACACCCACTTACAGTCGCTCACCAACATCGGTGGCACACCACCAAACAGTGAGAAAAAATGAACATAGATCATTTGGGAATAAACACTTCAGTCATTTCTCAGCAGGCAAGTGAGTGAGTAATATTCCAAGACAACAGAGTAAAGACAAAGCGAGGGGATCCTGGGACCTGACTAGCAAGGCATCAAACAAAATGAGTCTATGAATCCGAAGCTGAAATACCTTTCAGCATAATTTCTTCTCTGCCACAGCTACATTCTCAGTGTCATACATTGCTCTTAATGTGTGTGTGTGTGTGTGTGTGTGCTTGTGTTGGGAGGCATGTGTGTATTTGGGTGCAGATATGTGTGCACACATATGTGCTTGATTGCATGTAAACCACAGAATGACCTTGGAGATCGTTCTTCTGCCAACCAGCTTTTAAAGACAGGGTCTCTCCCTGGCCTGGGACTCACAAAGCAAGCTGGGTTGGCTGGTCATTCTGTCCCAAGGATCTGGGTGTTTCCACCTCCCCAGTGCTGGGCTTACAGCTAGCTTTTTGTAAAAAACCAAACCAAAACAAAAGACATAGATTCCAGGGACTGAACTTTGAGACATCTCCACAGTCCGCATTGCTCTTAATTTAACAAAATGAGGGTTAATCCTGTTATGGCTGCATATGTGGGCTGTGAGGTACCCAAAACAGGTTTTACTGCTACACTGTAAGCAATGTCTACCAATGAAGTATAAGTTAAGTAATCGTTTTGCAATTCTCAACAGTCATGAAGAAAATGAGGCAGATCTATATAATATGCTATGAAACAAAATACTTTAACAAAAATGACAAAGGGCCAAGTAAGGTGCATTAGTACATTCACATCTGTATAACGAAATGGGACATATATACAGGTGGATATACACGCACATATGCATGCATTGCTTCAAATAGAACAACACTGACATCTGGCTAGCTGGGGCTGGAATTCAAGGTGATAGGGACATTTGCTTTTTAGTGTAAATACATTATTCGCATTTAGTCATATGCATGTATTAATTTTTCATTACAAAATATCTTTTGAGAGAAAACTATCAAAAAGGAGTAGGGAGATAAGAATAAAAGGAAGAGGTGAGAAGCCATAACCCACCCTCAAGTACAAGAGAGCAACCAGCTGAGGTGAACGCCAAGCACAAACACAGCTTTAAAAACCTTGGAAACTTTAAAGTGACTTCGGCTGTGCTCAGACAGCCACGATTCCCAGGGCTCTGGGGAGGAGAGGGCTCAAGCTCACTGCCTGCCTCTTCCCCTGCAGGTGTTGACACACCACTTCCTTCTCCCTTCCAACAGAGAAGACAGCAGTGTTGCCATGCCCATGGCCAGAGCAATGCAGAAGATACAGAACATACGTTCTGTTTACGCAGTATATCTTACTTTTGAATGGGAAGTGTCATGAGGTCTCGGTCCAAGAAGAGTCTTTGAAGAAAGTCCTGAACATCTCCAAGGGTCTCAGGGCCCCCCATGTTTAACATTAAGATGCCGGTTTTTGGCTTCCTGCATAAGAAAAAACAGTTCATTGGCCACACTTTCATTTGCTCTGGAACCCAGAGGCCCTTTGCTGCCATCACAGGGCTATCTCCTTGGAGACACAGAGGGCCTCCACTTCTTCACTGACCCTTGTCTTTAGGCTCCAGCCCTGAAGTTGGCATTAACTGAACTCAAAACTTCTCTATTATCCTGTCGGTCTTGAACAAAGACCCAATTCTTCAGGGACAGAGACACAGAATTCTAGAAACCTAAAATGGTTCAGAGGCCAAAGGACCTGCAAGCGCCAGGGCTTTATGAATAAGTACACACAGTCAGACTTTCCAAAGATTAAGTCTCTAAGTATTTTTGCTAAAATTAAAGTTCAGTGTTCTACCTTACAGTATTGTTTTTAGAACTCAGTGCATAAAGCACAGACTCAACACACTCTCCCACCGAGTGAATTCTGTCACCTGGACAGGGTTTCCCTTTAGTTTTAACACTCTAGTGGGACTGCGCTCACTCTTTCGCCTGTACCCGTCTCTCCGGTCAGGCACATAGGAAATTATTCCAAAGCTAAATTGCTCCTTAGTCCTCTGCTTTCTTTCCCGCTACACGCCACTAGGCTGTCTTCAATGTCACCACACAGCTCTGTCCCTCCTGTAGGCACACTGTTTAGATAGAGCAGGCTGCAGGATAGAGCACAGCAAGCGGGAAGGAGGGAAACTAAGGCAATGACCCCTTAACAAGCATCTTAAATCAATCAGCTGCCGGGAAATGCAAAACCGAAAGTGCGGAGGAAAAGCACACTTGTGTCCTACCCGGCTCTGGAGTCTGACAGCGCAAAGCAAGGCAGACCAAGGGTCTCTGCTCCTTGCCCCTGTCAGAGGCCAGGAGAAGCTCACCACACACGCCCTTCCTCCAAAAGTTCTGGGAGAAAGACTGCACACAGAAACTGCGAGCTAGGCCGGTCTGAGCCTCACAGGATCCCTGGTGGGAGGGCTGTGTGGGAGCAGTAGTAAGCGGGACTGCTTCCTCGGTCCTTGTTCTCTTGGATGGCAGCAGCATTCATACGCCACACTCGTCACCATGTTAAACCCAACACCTCAGCGGACTGTACAACACCTCAGCGCTCTGTACTACACCTCAGCGCTCTGTACTACACCTCAGCGCTCTGTACTACACCTCAGCGCTCCGTCCTACACCTCAGCGCTCTGTACAACACCTCAGCGCTCTGTACAACACCTCAGCGCTCCGTCCTACACCTCAGCGCTCTGTACAACACCTCAGCGCTCTGTACAACACCTCAGCGCTCTGTACTACACCTCAGCGCTCTGTACAACACCTCAGCGCTCTGTACAACACCTCAGCGCTCTGTACAACACCTCAGCGCTCTGTACTACACCTCAGCGCTCTGTATAACACCTCAGCGCTCTGTATAACACCTCAGCGCTCTGTACAACACCTCAGCGCTCTGTACAACACCTCAGCGCTCTGTACAACACCTCAGCGCTCTGTACTACACCTCAGCGCTCTGTATAACACCTCAGCGCTCTGTATAACACCTCAGCGCTCTGTACAACACCTCAGCGCTCTGTACAACACCTCAGCGCTCTGTACTACACCTCAGCGCTCTGTACAACACCTCAGCGCTCTGTACAACACCTCAGCGCTCTGTATAACACCTCAGCGCTCTGTACTACACCTCAGCGCTCTGTACTACACCTCAGCGCTCCGTCCTACACCTCAGCGCTCTGTCCTACACCTCAGCGCTCTGTACAACACCTCAGCGCTCCGTCCTACACCTCAGCGCTCTGTACAACACCTCAGCGCTCTGTCCTACACCTCAGCGCTCTGTACAACACTCAGACTGTAGCAGTGAACTCTCAACTCTAAGACGTTTTCTTCTGCCCCCCAAAAAGACTTCCCATCCATTGTTCTCACCCCTCTGTGACCTGTCGCTTCATTCCTGGTAATCTGTTCTTCTGGATATTTTACAGAACAGACTCACACAGCTATGTCTGGTTTCTTTCACTTAGTGCAGAATGTCCACAGTTTCTCCACGTTACAATAAGAACCAGCACTTCATTGCATTGACTGCTCAGTAACAGTCTACTCTATAGCTAGCTCCACCATTTACCTTAAAAAACACTTTTATGTATCTTTACCTATTCCACATATGTATCTGATGTGCTTTAATCCCCCCTAACCCCACAGAACCCCTTTTCTTGCTGAGAAGTCCCTGTCCTACTGCCACAAGGTTTTAGTTTGTTTGTGACCCACACAATTCAGTTTGCTTTATTTGCATTCAGCCAGTCGCTAGTGGCTACACCAATGAAGAAAGTGACAACCTCTGCCCTAGGAACCGCTAGTTTGAACTGCCAATTACTCCTCCGGGAGGGGTGGGGCCTCAGGAACCTCTCTCCCATCTGTGCTAGATTACGAATGAGCGCAATCCTGAGCAGGTCTCGTACAGATAGCCACTGTGGGCGTAAGCTCGTGAGTGGAATGGCCTGCCGAGTCTGGACAGTCTCACAACGTACCTCTCCACTCTCTAGCTCTGACAATATTTCCACCTCCTCCTTCCAGTCACTCTTGATTTAAAATAAAAAAAAGCAGAGAAATAACTGGTCAGAAGTTCTCCCCCAATACTACTATGAATGCTTCCACGCCCTGCATCAAACCTCTTCTTGCTACAGAGACTGGCGTTTCCACCTGGAGCCCACGGTAGAGATAAAGCAGGCCCACTTTCACCTGTCTGAGGCCAGTGTTTCTCAGCCTCCATACCCCAGGCGTTCTTGGGGGGATAGTCCTTTACTGTCAAGGACTTTCCTAGACAATGTAGTGTGTGGTAATATCCCTAGCCTCCACCTGCTTGCGGGGGCGGGGGGGGGGCAGTGTTACCTGTCCTGGCTAGTATTTTATCAACTCGGACACAAACTAGAGTCGCTCGGGAAGAGGGGACCTCAGCCGGGAAACTGCCTCCATCACACTGTCTGTGGGCGTGTCTGTCAGACATTTTTTCCATTAGATATTGGTGTGGGGTAGTGTGAGCACTGCACAGGTGACTCCAGATCCTATAAGAGAGGTGAGCAAACCACGGGGAGAAAGCCAGGAAGCTCCACTCCTCCATGGTCTCTGCTTTAGTTCCTGCTTTGAATCCCTGCCTTGGGTTCCCTCTATGGCTGACTGTAACCTGCAAGCCACATAAACCCTTTCCTCCCCAAGCTGCTTTTGGTCAATGTTGTGTCACGGCGACGGAAACCAAGCCAGGCTAATTCCTCCCTTCAGCTGTGACAACTACAGATGTCTCCAGACCTGAGAGAGAGAAGGTCTAATCCTCTTCTTACTAAGGGGATTACACCAAGCAATTATACTTAAGAAGTTACAGAACTTTGTGTGTGGATATTCGGTACCTGTGTATGTGCACATGCGTGTGGGGTGCGGTGGGGAGGTGGCACACGTACCCAGCCGTACACATAGAGAGGCTGGAGGCTGATGTTTGGTGTTTTCCTCTATGGTTTTCTACTTTGAGCTCATCAGTTCAGCTAGACTGGCTGGAGAGTGAGCCCTTAGGAGTCTCTTGCCCCACCCCCTAGCCTTGGGATTACAGACACACAAAGCTGTGCCCAGATTTTATGTGGGTATAGGGGCTTCAACTCACGACTGCTCAGCAGGCCCTTAACCCAGAATCACCTCCCTAGCCCCTAACAAAGTTTTTCACCCAAAAATGCTACAATTACACTAGCAGGGCTGTTGAGTTTCCTTGCTACCCAAACACGCCAGATGCATCACCTGGTGAAGCTACAATCCCCCTTAATCTTCCTACTGAGACCACCCGTCTCACCCCCAAGTTCTTGTCTTTCACCCTCCAAACTCTGTGACTCCTAATAAATTAAGTGCATTTCCCCATGGATTGCTGCCAGTTAGCAGATTACTGGTTAAGGAAGCCCGGGCTAAACGACTTACCTAAGCCACAAAGGGCATCACTGTGCGAGCGGGATTTAGAACGGCGCTTTCCGTCTATAACACCTGAGCTCAGAGCAAGAGTGGCTCTAAAGCGGATGTCCCTCGGCCCTGCTCACGTTTTGCAAACCCGTGTTGGTTTTATACATGAAAGAGTCGCATATGATTTGAAAATGCCCCAGTCCGCGTAGCACTTAATTCAAAACTGTGTTGTGCATGAGGAGCGCTGCATTAGTTGGCCTCTGCCGTGTGTCCAGGACAGCGTGCAAGGCTTTAATCAAGGGTCCTGTCTCTCGGCCCCTCAGACAGATCACACCTGAGACCAATGGCGCACTGGCCAAGGCTCTCTTTGTTTGAACAGCAAGTATGCGCAGCAGCATGGATTTGAAAACTTGCTGGGAAAAGTTTAAACGCTTTGCATTTGGTACAGGCTGGGACTTTCAAAGCATGAAGCTTTTCCTTTGAAATGTGCACAATAGGAGCTGAAAATCATCCGTCAGCAAACAGGCATTTTAGTCTATGCTATCTAAGCAATGCTGATGGAAGGAAATAAAATCTCGGTTCTCCATTAAACCTACAAGATACCAGTGCCCCAAGGGTCTATGCTTCCTCTAGAATTGAATCCAGTAAACAATAGAATCTGCACCAAATTTACACAAACATATATACAGAGAGAGAGAGACAGACAGACAGACAGAGACAGGCAGGCAGAGAGAGGAAGAGATCAAGGGAGAGAGAGAGATCAAGGGAAAGAGAGAGAAAGAGACACACAGAGAGAACACACACAGTGGGAACGCAGCTCCAGAGAGAGAGAAACAGACAGAGACAGACAAACCAAGAGAGAGGGAGATCAAGGGAGAGAGAGAGAGAGACACACAGAGAGAATGCACACAGTGGGAACGCAGCTCCACTCCTGTCTGTCTTATCTTTGGCTGCCTTGACACTGTAACAACAAAGGTGAAGAGCAGCAAAGGAGATAGATGGTGCTGCCTATAAAAGCTAAAAGTGAAATAACAACCAAACTCCTGATAAAAAGCCTGTGGACTCCTAACCTAGCACAGCAGCCGACCTAGTACTGTAGTCCAGCTCAAACGAAGCCCTAAGCAATATCAGAATGGTCCCCCAGGATATTCCTTACTTCAGCGTCTCAAGCATCCAAAACTAGACATACCCAATGCTGGGAAGGTGGGCTTAGAGAAATAAACTGTGACTTCCTAAACTACTCCTAAGCTCTTGGAGATGGGTAAGCTTGACTGTCACTTGGATAGCACATAGAATCAATCAGTCAGGAGATAGCTTTAGGATGCCTGAGAGGGGTTCTTTGGACTGAGTTAAGGGAGGTGGGAAGATTTACCCTCACTATAGGGAGCACCATTCAATGCATCCCAGAGTGAATGAACTGAGCACCAGCAGCATTTATCCCTCTCTGCCTCCCGAGTGCAGATTAAAATTTGGCCGGCCACCTCACAATCCTGCCACCATGACGGACTGTACCCGCAAACTGTGAGCAGGAAGAAAACCTTCTTTATGTTGGTTTTGCGAGGTATCTTGTAACAGCAACAAGAAAAACAACTAAAACAACATAGAAAATATAAATATATGGTGACAGTAGAAAAACCTGTAAAATAATACGCATAGCAGTGTTTACATGTCAGTAAGTACATATGAGTAGGTAACAAAACATTAGATGTAAGGTTACTATGACTTTTATGTCCTCCTTCCACCTGAATTTCCTATTGTTTTATATAAATGTTACATAAAATTACTTAATAGAACCTAACCCTTATACTTTTATTTAATTTTAACAATTAATATATTTATATTATATTATTTTATTTATATTATTGACTTTTGTCACTACAAAATAAAGCAATTGTTGTTTGAAAGAAAATGCCCCCCAAAGGGAGAGTCACTATTAGAAGGTGTGGCTTTGTTGGAGGAAGAATGCCACTGTAGAGGCAGGTTTTGAGGTCTCATGTATATCAAGTCATGGCCCATGTGGCCTGAGAGTCAAGATGCAGGACACTCGGCTACTTCTCCAGCACCACATCTGCCTGCACACCACCATGTCGCACCATGATGATAGTGGACTAAACCTCTGAAACTGTAAGCCACCCAAATAAATGTTCTTCCTTTATAAGAGCTGCCATGGTCATGGTGTCTCTTCACAGCACTAGGAACCCTAAGACAGCAATGAAATCATTTTTCTTCCAGGTAAAGAGCAGCAAAGGAGATGGTGCTGCCTAAAAAATAAACCTAAAAACAAAGTAACAACCAAACTCCTGATAAAAAGCCTATGGACTCCTAAGGTAGTACAGAGTATTAATTCTTCCACTCATACTAACAGTTTTTCCAAGTTTTGAGGGACCACAGAGTACACAAGGTGCCATGTCCTGGTTGGCATGCCACGAGCCCAAGACGCCTGTGCTTCCTACCCTACCCACTGACGACATCTTCTAGGAAGACAGAGATGAGAGGAAAGGACTTGGGACCTGTCCCTAATTCCATATCCTAAATCAACCTGTTTCTTAGCCTTCAGTCAATAAAATATCACAATGAGATATCACAAGGGAAAGTAACAAACACAAAATGCAAACATTCATTCACATAGCTGTTCATGCTGGTTCGAGAATGTCCCCCATAAGCTGGGGCATTTGGGTACTTGGTCCCTGAGTGGTGGCACTGTTTGGACAGGTTTAACAGGTGTAGCTTTGCTGGATGAAGTATGTCACTGGAGCTGGGTCTCCAGACTGGTTCAAAGACTCACACTACTCCCAGTTAGCTTTCTCTGCTTCTTGTTTGTGGTGCAGGATGTGCGCTCTCTGATGCTGCTCCAGCCTCTGTAACCCTCTGGAACTGTAAGCCCAAATACACTCTTCTATAAGTTGTGTTTTATCACCGCAACAGAAAGGTAACTAATAAACTAATATACAGTTCTAGAATGGCGTCTTGTCTGGCAGGAAAGTCATGACGTCATCTAATTACAGCTACGTTCCTTCTTAGATCCGAACAACTTCCCCGTATAAAACCTGCTCTTCTGTATCACAGACGAGGTCCTGTGGGCATCTGTGGCTTCTGCTGCTGAAGAGAACACTCAGCTACACCGTGGCTACAGAACTGCCACCCACCCATAAATACCAAGAGGAAAGTACACTCTATTTCCTTAATAAAGTACAAACCATAAAATGTCATTGATAATATGCTCACTATGTTAAAAGCAAAAGATAATGATAGAATCTCCTCGAGAAGTTCTTGATAGGTTAGCTACTTTATGTCCTATACAAGGCATACATTTTATAAGCATAAATATATTCAGTTCATACACACAGGTTTTCAGTATGCATACAGTTGATTTCATATATGACATATACTAGGGCCACATTCTTATGTGACTGAAGACTACCTTTAATTGTATGTCCTTTATTAGTCCTTAAACCCATTATTTAGCAGCTGTTAAAAGGAAACCAAGAAAAGAACATACATTGATAATAAATACATTGCACTTTCCCAGTTCCTCTCCCACTAGGTTGCTTGAACCCGCTTGCGTTTGTCATAATAGAAAACAAAAAGAAAGCCTTAGCTGAGCCTAAAGTTACCTCTTTTCTGGTTGAGCTTGAGGTTTTGCAGATTTGGCGTGATGCACTTTCTCTGTGGCTGCTGCTGCCGCTGCACCCGACTGGCACCTCCACGGCTGACAGGCCCTCGAGCTGCCATGCGCCACTGTGACAAAATTAAAGTGCTAGCATGAAATCTAGTTGGAAAGTAATTTCTTCTCAAGGGGTCCTCAGGGCATAATTGCTAGCTTTAAATTTTAAAACGGTACCACGGCAGAGGTGACTTCCCCAGAATCTCTGTAGGCAGGTAAAACACGGAGGACTCCTTTCTCTAGTGGGCTGGGGTGCAGGTTCCTTCTCCCAGGGTGGCGTAATCTTTTTAGAAGGCACACACAGCTTCTCACCCTGCCCTGGCTGCAAATTTTGCTCAGATCTCATCCCTTGAACCTCTGCTCACTCAGAATCTTTCCACCCGTGGGACAGAGCTGATCATGGGGAAGGTGAGGAACTACTAACATAGGGTTATTTAGAGTAGAAACTGAGCCCAGTTCCCAACTAACTGTCGATCCAGTTTCTGTCTTCAAGCCTTCTGGGATTTGGGTCTCGAGCGATGGGAATCCCAGAATCGCCCTGTGCTCTGATAATAAGAAAGGGCAGGAATGCACCCACGAGATATAGAATAGCTCAGAACCCAATACTCTGCATAACAGACCAGGTTCCCTGGGCCGATAACTCAAGCATTTCCTCCCCCCTAAGCTCCACAGCTAATTCCAGAGTCTATGCAGCTCCCTCCCTGCATCTCTCCTCCACAGGGCAGACCATCCAGATAAGCAGCTGGTGGCCTTCAAGGTGGCCAAGGGGTAGTAGGAAAGAGCTGCTGGTGGGAAGAGAAGCAAGAAAGCTTGAGGGTCAACATTTGCCTCTTCTCTGCAGGGGTTTAGGAGAGTTCAAGACTTCATCCCTCCAGGCGGTTAGAAGGGTCTATCGGTTAGGGACAGGACTTGCTATTCTATGTGCAATACACACGGCCCTGTGTGTACCCTTGACCTGGGCTCCACAAGAGTAGGCGGTGGTCCAGGAAAAGAACTGAACCAAGGAGTACATGTGCCATACTGAGTTGTAACATGAAGTATTGGTCCTTCCATAATCGTAAAACTAAACTGAAACCACAAGTTAGAACTGAGGAAGATAATAAGAACAGTGGTGGCTACTGTGTGGCCTCCTCCTTCTGTCTCCTAACACCGGGTTAGAAACTAGTCTGGGACCAGTCATCTTCTGCCTGGATTCTCCTCTAAGCGCCCTGATGAGGGCAAAGTTCAGGCTGGATCAAATAGGTCTGACCTAAGTTCAGCTCTCCCCTTTGTAGCAGTGTGACCTGGGTCAGACTATGATCCTTTTTTTTATTTATTTATTTATTAAGGATTTCTGCCTCCTCCCCGCAACCGCTTCCCATTTCCCTCCCCCTCCCCCGATCAAGTCCCCCTCCCTCATCTGCTCAAAGAGCAATCAGGGTTCCCTGATCTGTGGGGAGCCCAAGGACCACCCACCTCTATCCAGGTCTCCTAAGGTGAGCATCCAAACTGCCTAGGCTCCCCCAAAGCCAGTACGTGCAGTAGGATAAAAAACCCACTGCGATCTTATAGAGCCTTATCTCCCCCTCTGTATCACAATGAACTCAGAGGATTTAAAAATCAAGAGAGGCACTCTGTAGCATCTGCCATGTGGCAGGGGCTACTACAATATTAGTATAATAGTTTCATTTGGAAGCTTCTAGAGAAAGCAAGCATGCCTGCTCTAACTTCTTTAAATCACCCAAATGGGAACCAAATAAAAGGAAATGGGACTCCCAGGTCACCTAGACTTCTTTCTATCCAGATAGTACACATTCACAAGCTGGTGCATGTCTGTAACCAGAGCACTCAGTGAGCTGAGGCAGGAGGATCTTTAGTTTGAGACCATCTGGGGTTTGAGCCTGATCTTGCCACAAAACCAATAAATAAAAGCAGACGGCGCACAATCCCAGCAGAGCCCACTACACGAGCTTACGCTGGGGAGGCCTTACTAAATCAAGGCAGAGTGGAAAGATGGATGTTAAGAAGCTCAGTTCCACTCAGATGAGCCTCAAACAACCTGCACCCCTGTTTCAGACAAGTTTAATCATGAACTGCACGGTGAGATTTAACCAGGGATTCAATCACGTGCAACGTCTCCAAGTCCCTGCAAGAACAAAATTCCATCAGACCCTATGGGGTATGAGGATAGAATTCTAACTGATGGTCATAAATAGGATTCTTTCTGTGAACCTAACAAAAGGAAAGGTGGGGTAGGACTAGATTCCCCAGCTAGTGTAGTACCGTTTCCTAGTACAAGTCAGGCCTTTGCGTTTCTGGCTGACCAAATTTTGGTACTGATAAGGGATCCTTCCTACTGTGACTCAGGATTAACATACCTATCAAGGACATCTTAAAACATCCCTCTCTGGACTGGGCTATTAGAGATACTGAAGGCACAAGGAGCAGGTGGTCAGAGAAGATTACAGAGGAGGAGAGTATGCTCAAGGTGTTATATGCTTGTATGAATATGTCACAGAGAAACCTATACAAACTGCACAAATTACATATACTAACTAAAATTAAATAGGATCCCACACTATCTTAGAATCAGGGACTGTGGGAGTAGGGGGACTTGCCTTCCAGTTGTGGACAGTTATTCTGATTTTTGTTGTCCCAATAGAATAGGAAAAGGACTGTCACCATCTCCCACCCAACACTGTCCTGTATGGCCATGGTAGGAGAACTTACAGAAACAATGCAATTTCTGAACCATTAAAAATTAAATATATTGGGACTGGAGAACTCAGGGGTTAATAGCACTGGCTACTCTTGCAGAGGACCTGCGTTCAGTACCTAGCACCCACATCTGGTAGCTTAGAAACAACTGTACCCCAGTTCCAGATCTCATGCCTTATCCCCACACACAATTAAAAAACAACAACTTTAAAGCCAGGTGGTGGTGGTTTATGCCTTTAATCCCAGCACTCGGGAGGCAGAGGCCAGGCAGATCTCTGTAAATTCGAGGCCAGCCTGGTCTACAGGAGCTAGTTCCAGGATAGGCTCAAAAACCAACAGAGAAAACCTGTCTTGAAAAGAAAAAAAAAACAAAACTTTGAGCATATCATGAAAAAATTTCCATGCATGGCTGCTGTTACATATATTGCAAAAAAGAAGCAGAAGATGTTATGGATGTGTATATGTATCTTAAGCCTAAAAAAAAAAGATGGGGATTTGGAGAGATGGCTCAGTGGTTGACACACTTGCTGCTCTTGCAGAGAACACAAGATTGGTTAGCACTCATTGGGTAGCTCACAAATACCTGTACTTCAGCTCCAAAAGGGATTGGACCCCTCTGGCCTCTGCAGCAATCTGTAGTCATATGCACTACCCATACACAGATGAAATTGAACAGCAAATCATTGAATGCATAATAAACTACAATTTTGTATATTGGAAAATTTACAAGACAAAATAAGAAGTGATCATGAAAGATAAAAGTTTAATTTCTGCATAAAATCTTAAAAACCCAAATTACAAAACCAAAAAAAGAAAACATGCATAAATCTAATAGAATTCTTGAATAAGAAAATACAGAACTCTCTCTTTGTGTGTGTGTGTGTGTGTGTGAGTGTGTGTGAGTGTGTGTGTGTGTGTGTGTGTGTGTGTGTGGTGTATGACACACTGGAGGAAGCATCTTACTACTTCTAAAAGGTAAAAACATAGAACATAAAACTGTTTTTTCCAGTTTCATTTTCAGAATTCAGTTGCAGAAAAACACAGTTTTCTCTTAGCTAATATTAATCTTTTCCTGTCCACCAAAATGATAAAAAGTACTGTAATACCGTCTTAAAAAACTGGCGTGTGAGCAGTTAACCCAGAAACTCACAACTAGCTAAAGTGCACAGCCACAAATGGTGACATCTCAGCCCCTACCCACAAAAGGCTGAGGGGACACAGCAGACAAGGGAGCAGAAGCACTGTAAGAGCCAGACACTGCAAAGAACTAGGGCAAAACCTGGATGGGTCAAGACTGCTATCCTCCAGACCTCATTGCCTCTGTGGTTGCTGCATAAGATTTGCACCAGATCAAGCCAGTCAACGGTCCATCACGGTGTGTGGAGGGGCTCCTGAGCCCCAACCTAGCTAAGGAGCTAATCAATGGCTGCTGGAGAGGGAAGGCTTAGGTTCTTTTGTAAGGAATGGCTCCTGATAGGTCGACCATGCAATGGTTCTCAACCTGTGGGTTGCAGCCCCTTGGGAGTCAAACAACCCTTTCACGGGGTCACCTAAGACCATTGGAAAACAGATATTTACATTGCAATTCTTAACAGTAGCAAAATTACAGTTATGAAGTAGCAACAAAAATAATTTTACGGTGGGGTGGGCGGGGTGGGGGGAATCACCCAGCATAAGGAACTGTACTAAAGGCTGCAAAGTTAGGAAGGTTGAGAACCACTACTCTAGCGGGTGACTCCAAACCCGTGGGTATTTGGGTAGCATAAATTGGATTTACAAGTTAAGGGTGGGGGAGAGAAGACAGGAAGTTGGTGGGGAGTGGGCATGAATCTGGAAGGAGTTAGGGGAAAGAGCTGGAGGCGAATATGATCAAAATAAATTGTTTGCACAGATGAAGTTCTCAAGGAATAAAAACTATTTTTTTTCCAAAGCATTGGATCCTGTAACACAGCTGGAGCCGAGATAAATTGTGGTCTCTGAATCCTCTCATTCGGTTACTTCTGACTTACACCAAAAAAAATTTTTCTCCTATTATTTCATGACCTCCAGTCTTGGGTCTGCTAGACTTTCTTGGCCACAGGAAAGATGGTGAAGGATTAATTTGGTACTTCCTTTACTGGCCCGTCCTTATCTTAAAGATAATACCTTTTGTTTCCCAGTGTCCTAAGGGAGCTGATCTTCAATGTACCTTATTGTCTTCTAACAAAGGCACTTGCAATAACGTGTGGATGCTCGGAGTATATTTTCTCTACCTGAAGTAGATGCCAAACTGACAAATTAGGAAACTCCTTTGAAATGGGTCAGGTCTAGTCATCATTCAAATTCGTTAAATGAGTGTCTAAAGCCCAAGTCTTTTACATCAGTTAACTGAGGAGCTCTCTGCTGCCTAGTTCACACGCGTCCTAATCTTCACAGCAAATAAGCGAGTTTGGCGAGATTGGGACCCTGGCTCAAAGTGTCCTTGCTCAATTCGACCCAACTGAGTGTGTCCCACCCAGGGTCCCACCAGCTCATCTAGTGGGCACACACATTAGCGAGGTGTACCAGCAACACTTGAGATCTCACTTATTGTCTAAATATCCCACGCAAAACTCTAGTCCGTACGTCCCCACAGTGGGTCCTTCTACCCAGAAGCCATGGCATTGGCCTGGGCGGAGCAGCAGTGGACACCATGAACGTCACCAGCAGAGAGCGAACTGCAAGGCAGATGCCAACAGTAATTAATGATGACAACGACTCCTGAATCTCTAGGTGTCGTGTCCTTTAGAGACCTTCCCTCCGGTAACTACTAATTCCATCTACTACTCGAGGCCCCCAGCTGACCCGGGCGACTCGAACCCGCGGCTTCCCGGCCGCTCCTAGCATTTGCGATCGCAGACACAACCCCACTTACGCGGCTCGCGGAGTAGCGAGCCCGCAGCCCGCAGGGCCGCAGCCAGGTTGGCGCCGGCAGAAAGCATTTCCGGGACGGCCAGGGATCCTCGGCAGCGGCGAAACAGCTAGGCCCGGCGAGCGCCTACCCGGCTGCGCTCGGCAAACGCTCCGGCACATTCGCCAGGCGATAGGGGCGGGGCCAGCAGGAGTCCGCCCTAGGGGTGTGGTCAGGGGCGGGGCTTGCAGGCCCGACTGGCCAGGTGCTGCTGGCTGGAAGCTGGGACAAGCCGAGGGATTGTGGCTTGGATCCTGCCACCAGGGATCAGCGCACCCGAGTCCCTCTAGGTCCCCGTGCTATCACGGGACCCGCTAGGTCTGCAGCGCCGGAGGACCTTTCAGTCTGCCATCCTGGACGAAACTGGAACGGCAGCCACGACTCAGCAAAAAGACTTTCTGGACGTTTCCATACTGTCCTTAGGCTTCTGCCTCCCTTTCCCAGTTTGGTTGCTTCAATACTTTATCACAGTGTAGACCCTTTCAGCTTGTTTCCAGAGCAAAAAGAGAGAGTGTGGGAGGGTGTGTGTGTGTGTGTGTGCGTGTGTATGTGTATGTGTGTGTGTGCTTTCTTCGATCACCTTTCTGCAGCAGAGTTTAAGATAAAGGAACCAGCTTAACATTGCTGGTGTGGGGGCATTAGGAAGGGTGGAGGTCAGGAAGGCAGATGCAGACCCGATTAGGAAGGGGCTATGGGGAGACAAAATAAGCAGAACAGACAGAACATTTTGAAAGACAGAGTGCACTAGGCAGAGAGAACGGTAGGGTAAGGCTGATGGAACAAGTCCTCGTGGAGGCTTAGGGGACGGATGGGAGGAAGGGAAGGAGAGAGAATGAAGAAGGAAGACAGGAGTCCAGATAAACCTGACCACTGGTGGCTAAAATCTGAGCTCTTGGCTTTACTAGTTTATTGTGTTTCTAAGATGGATGTAAAATGTAAATGTATTACAATTCATGTAACTGACAGGATTGCCTCCATGTGCATTCCCCCCTTGGGACTGAGGACTGAGCCCAGAGCCTCGCACACGCTAGGCCTGTCTCTTTTTACATCTCATTTTGTGTCAGGGTTTTGTAAGTTGCCAGGGCAGGCCTTAAACTTGCTATTTTCCTGCATCAGCCTCCCCAGTAGCTGATCTTGCAATACTGAGCCATCAGACCAAGTCCTTTGGCAATTTTTGATTTCAAAAATCAAATGGTACTAGAGATTGCCCTGTACAGAGCCTGCGGGAAATTTAGGGGATAGAGGCAGATAAGGCAGAGACTGGTTTCTTGAGGGGGCTGCTTCCTTTCTTATGAGAAGGTGGAGGTGAGGGAAAATACCTGCACAGGAACAAACATCTAGACAAAACATTAACAGAAATGGGAGGACCCAGGGCTCTTAGAAAACACGAGTCTAGCCTAACCCCTGAACACCCATCATTACAAGGTGACCTTTATGGTCATCTAAAGCTTCTCTAAAGTTCATCTAGAAAATGAACTACAGAGGCTCCACAACACCCTCGGAAATGCTGTGCTCGATGACGCAGGGGCGAGGCCACAGGTCTGGTCTGTGAGCTGTCTCTTCTGTCACCTCTGGGAGGCCCTGAAGGAGTCATTCCGCCACCCTGGGTGCTGAGCACTCCTGCTAGAAGGAGATAACAGGGGTTTCTGGCCCCTCCCAGAGACGCGCTAATGATTAGTGATGAGACGAAATGCTGCCACTTCCCTCAAAATCTCCAGCTGAGACAGCCACATTTTATGTGTGACCAGAAAGCAGAAAAGAATTGACAAAAATGTTTTATTCCAGACATTAATCCAACATCATTTCAAAAAAATGAACGAGCACGATTTCTTTCATTTTATTTGTTTACTGACTGAAAAACTCAAAATTTTCTGTGCACAAAGCTTCTTGATGGACATATTGGGGATTCGTGGGTTCTAAAAAGACGGCAAAACTCGGGCTGGTGTGAAGCGGTTCAGCAGGTAAAGTGCTGGCTGTACAGACCCGAGCACCTCCAATTCCTGGAATCCACGATGGAAGGGAAGCAGCAGCTCCTGAGAGCTGTCCTCTGTCCTCCACACATGTACCACAGCACTGAGTGAGAACACACACCAGAAACAGAAAACAAGCAAATCTTTGTGATCTTGAGCTATTTTTGTAATCTGTGTCTACGCAGGCCTTGAACCTGTCACCTTTCTGCCTCGGCATCCCCAGTAGCTGGAATTATAGGCCTGCCTGAGTCACCAGGCTGAGCCCTTTTGCTAATTCTTGACTCTGGTAACAAAAACAGTATTTGTTTAGGTTGCCCTTATATCAAATATAACAGCTTCCAAGTGAATGGTTTATTATGATGATGATGATGATGATGATGATGATGAAATAAAAGCAGACAAAATGAATGTACTTCATATGATTTCTATGTAAAGCTGTGCAGTGGTGGTGCATGCCTTTAATCCCCAGATCTCAGGAGGCAGAGGCAAGTGGATCTTTTGAGTTCGAGGTCAGCCTGATCTACAGAGAGAGTTTCAGGGCTGACAGAAAAAAAAGCAGGTGTATTTTGCTTTTTTATTTTCTTGAGACAGTGCCTCCTCCAGGCCACATGGGCCTTGAACTTACTATGTAGCTGAGACAATCCTGAACTCATTGGTCCTCTGGCTTCCGCCATTTAAGCATTTGGATTACAAGCACATACTACCACACTTCAAAAAGTTCCTGCTGGGCCTAGTGCATGCATTTTTAATCCCAGCACTCGGGAGCAGAGGCAGGCAGAGCTCTGTGAGTTTGAGGCCAGCCTGGTCTACATAGTGATTCCAGGACAGGACAGCCAGAGCTATATAGAGAGATCCTGTCTCAAGAAACCAAAAACAAACAAAATACATAGTTCTTAGCCCAGAAGTTGTGAACTCCGGATTCAGGGTTACACAGAACATTTTACAAAGGGTTTGAAAGGTTAAAGAAGTGAGATTTATAGATATTTGCATATACATATAGAATACTTCTCCTCTCCCTAATGAGATTTACATAGATTTGCATATATATGCTTCCCCTCCCCCCCCCCACCAGCTTGCGTTTTAAGCAAAATTCTATACCAATTCCATTAGAAAACAGAAGGCTGAAAGATACAGGCTTTGTGTTGACTGAGATAAGCCGCCAGGGAGAAGATTTGTCTGAGCCCCTGTGACTTAATTAGTGAATAAGCACTCGCCTGTCACAGACAACACTCTGGAGTTCAGCCTGGAGTTCTAAATAAAATGAATTTGTTGGTTTCAGCTCAGTGCTTCAGGGAAGGGGGGACTCCCCTAATTCATTATTTGCAGTGATTGGCACTTCTGAGCTACACAAACTAAATTTATATAACTCCACTCAGTCTCCTTAATCAGAAAAAGACTGGGGGAAGGGCTTCCGCGTGAGAGAAACAGCAGTTCCACGTGACAAATGGGGAGCCTGGAATCATCACTCAGAGAAGTCTGAGCCATTGTCCTCACAATTAAGACCTAAGCCACCGAATCTGGACCCAACTGCAGCATGCTTTGCCTAAACTACAAGGAAGACTGTCCGGAGTCCACCTGTGCTCACACTCACCGAGTGTGTCCACAGTGAGAAGTGCTGCCCCAGGTAATATGGGGGATAAAAGTGTGAAAAGGTTCTAAAGGAACTTGTATGTACGTGCAAGTAGCTCGTTTACGAGACAAGGATAAGGCAGAGCCACTGCCAAACACCTAATGTACGGAACAGAACGATAATCGGAACCCACATGGAACGAACATTCTAGGTCACTGAGGCAGCTGTCTATGAAAAACACAAGAATTCACAACATAAAGACAGGTCATGGCTAGGGGCCAAGGAAGAAAGCAAAGAAGGCAGAGGAATGCAGAGAGGCCGGAACTGCAACTTTCCGTAGACGCAGTCTGGCGTGAATTCTGCCAAGGTGAAACAGGAACAGGAAGACCTCTCTCTGCAAGTGAAACCTGAGCAGGGGTTCCTGAAGCTTCCATGAGGAAGCGAGCAGCAAGGATGGGGACCCCTTTGAAGCCTGCATTAGTTTCCTTTGTCAGTGGGACGTCTCAAAATTTTGCTGTTTTTTTTTTTTTTTTTTTTTTTTTTTTTTTTTTTTTTTTTTTTTAACTCTGGAATTTAGAAACCTTCCATTAAGGTATCAACAGGGCCACAAGCCCCCTGTCCATCCTGGTCACTTCCTATCTTCTGGTAAAGTGACCGACAGGGCTTTGAATACCTGTTATACTGGAACCAACTAACCCCATAGTCCAATTTGAGTACATAGGTAAAGACGCTTATTTCCAAATAAATACATATATGCAGGATCTGGGAGTTAGGACATCAGCTTCTTTTAGGGGTCATGAGAGACCTGCAAGGAGGTCTTGTGGCCTAAGCAGAGTGAGGCTTGAGGTGAGGTGAAACCAAGGCTTCTTGATGGAACAGGGCTTTGCAGGTGGTGAGGGGTCTTTGGCATGGCCTTCTGAACTGCCTTCCTGCAGCACTGACACACATGAGTTCCTAAGAGTTCCTTTTCTCAGTCACAAGGACAAAATGGGAGCACCTGGACTGACATTAAGCCAGGAGGTGGGAGCTCACACCTTCAGTTCTAGAACTCCTGAGGCAGAGGCAGGCAGAACTCTTAGGAGTTCGTGGCCAGCCTAGTCTACAGAGCTAGTTCCAGGACAGCCAGGGCTACATAGAGAAACCGTGCCTCGAAACAAAACAAAACAAACAAGACACACACCACACACACTACATGACTAAACACAGTATTTCTTCCCACGACTTATCACTTTTTGTGAGCTCCTATTTGTAAGGTGCCTTTGTCCCCATTTCCACACTGGCAAAAGGGTGTCCACAGAGCCTGTCTGTGTCCTCTTGCCAGCAGCCCAGGGATGTCCCGAGTCTTAAGCAGACTGATGTTATTTTCTTGGCTTCAGTCTTGCTCTTTGAAGGCGTGTAAATTTGCAATTCCCTCTTCCCAGGAGGCTTTTACTCCCTCCCAGAACTGTGCAAACCCCAAGCTCCTTTTGCTACGGGCTAGAGAGCCTGCTTTCTGGAATTTTCTACAGAAGAGCCAGGCATCTGAGTCCCCTAGCTCCACCATCCTGCTTTTATGTGGATGCCCTGGAAGATATGTTCGTCTG